CACAACCCGCGAGCGGATAGACCACACTAGTACAACCACTCGCTGCTACCAGTAAAAATTTTTATGGGATGCGGTTGTTTGCGTGTGTGGATCGCTGTGTGGCGTGGTACGTAGACTGGAGGGCCAATTAGATAAATGATAAATTTTATGTTTTACTGCAAAGCAGACAATAGCAATAATACACAAGACGTGATGCCTGGGCTCTGACGAACAGGATGGCCTGCTGAGCAGGGGATTCGGCAACGGAGTTCCGGGGTGGAGTAGTCCTCTCGAGAAGAAGGGAACCGAGTTTCTGTCATGTCCACAGATAGGGTCGGCGAAAGTCGTAGCTGACGTGCAGGGGTTGAGGTCTAGGAAAACTGAGGCCGATGTTGGTTGAAAAGAACTGAGACCAAGAGGAAAGGTGAAGAGGTTTATAAAGGGAATTAGGACCCGCCTCATGTGATAATGTAATAATTTGGAAGAATTTAGGAATTTGAGGAAAAATGCGATAAAAGGGGATGATAAAGGAAAAGGGAATAAGGATAGGGGGGCTAAAAGAAGATGAGAAAGATGATAAGTCAAAAATGAAGTGGTTTTTGTAGGTATGAAAAAAAGGGTGGGACAAAATTGAGGAAAATTGTAAACATACAGGAATGTGATTGGCATTCTTGAGTCATAGGCTAAAAAAGGAGGAAAAAGACGTTATATGATTTTCTAATTAGAACTATATATTTTACATTTGTAATGCAACTCATTTATCAAGTTCGATTATTCTGGCAGGTTATACGTGAAGGCGGTGTTTGCGGGATACAAACGTTCGCAGCGCAATCAACACGAGCACACGGCACTTCTCAAATTGGACGGTGTCTACAACAAGAAGGATGCTCAGTGGTATGTGCATTCTTTGTCTTTTTTGTATCTGCTTTAGCCCATCAATACCTGGAACTGTGTTAATCCATTACTGCTTCTGCCTATACTAGTGTGCGTGGGTGTGTTTATTTGTGTGTGTGTCTGTGTGCGTGTGTGTATGTGTGTGTGCGTGTGTATGTCTTTGAGGAGTAGGCTCCGAAGGTTAGTCCCAGGATAAAATTTGCTACGGTTACAAATCGTTGTGTGACGTAACAAATCGTATGGTTTACGATTTCATGCCAAGGTAAAGCAGTTAGTCATAATATGAGTCTGTTTCTCCAGTTATGCAGCTTGCAGCCTTAGCAGTTATTCTGATCAGTGTTGCATCTCCTGCTGATATCGCCACTCTGCCGGTAATCTTGATGTTCGTAGTGTACGGCAAAAAAATTACCATACTACTGGTTTTTCTGCGAGACTTTTTTGCTAATTTTCTCGCAAAAAAAACGGCTAAAACGGAGAGATTTTGCTCGTTCAACGAGCTTTCCAAGTAGAGTGCTTTAAAAAAAGCAGCAAAAAGCGATATATGCACTGATTGCTGTTGCGTATCGTTTAAGGTACGTTGGCAAAAGAGCCGTATATGTGTATAAGGCACACAGTTCAAGCAAGGTCCCCGGGAAAACGCCGAGTCGTGCACGCGCCATTTGGGGAAGGATAACACGAGTGCACGGCAATGGTGGCATGGTGAAGGCGAAATTTCGACGAAATCTCCCGCCAAGTGCTATGGGCAAACGCATCCGTGTCGTATGTGCTTTTTTTTGAATGGTTTCTTTAAATATGAGCAGACGAATCA